TCTATTTTTAATTAAAAAAAAAAAAATTGGATTCTTGTAGCTTTTTTTTTTTTTTTTCCCATTTTTCATTCAATTTTTTTTTTTGGTGAAAAATATCTATTTTTTTTTTGAAATTATAAAATTTTATATGAAAATTTATAATTAAATTTAAACATATTGATTTTTGTTTATTTTTTAAAAGTATACTATATAAATAATACTGAATCATATATATGTATAATTTTGATTATTATTTATCTAATTAAGGTCAATTTTTATTTTGTTTTATTATAGGGGAAGGAAAAGGGGAATTGTGGGAACTAACATCTCGTATGTGAGAATTTCATTACATTGTACTAGATTCACGTGAATTCTATTTTAAATGAAAATTTTTAAAAGTCTTTTGAATTCTATAAAAGCCTATAAAAATTTAAAATGAAAGTCCATAGAAATCTACGAAAAACTTCCACTAATTCCATACAAAACTATAAAAAATATAAAAAAATCCACAAAAATTATCATTTAAAAAAAGCTCATCAAAATTTTCGAAAGTCCAAATTAAATACACCCACCTTAAAACTTGTCTCATTTAAAAATGAAAATTGTCATCTAAAAAGTGTATTTATGTAAATATTATGCCAAATTCAACTATTCAAGACTATGTAAGTCGAAGAAGTCAAATATCAAGTCTTATGAACCTAGGCAAACCTAAACATAATGAGACATTTTTCTATTTATAATATTATTTTAAATATTTCAACCAATAAATAAATAAAATAATGTGCATCTCAGATTTATTAGAAATTCATATCTACTTTAAGTTTTTTCAACAAAAAATTAATTTCAAAATTATAAACACTATCAATATTTAATAATGAATTTTTACAATTAAATTAATATATAAACACGAAAAAAATACCACCAAATGCCCAAAAATCAAACGGCTGGCAATATTTGCTGCTCCGCCTCATACTTTTGTTATTATATTTTTGTTTTAGGTTTTCCAATTTAAAATTTTTAAAAATGATAATAAAATAATATTTTAAATAAATAAGTAGCAAGACGATAATTGAAAAAAAAAAAAATAAAAAAAATTAATCGATTACTTGCCCCGCCTCCTAGAAGTCCTCAATTATACGAGGACAAAGATGATTGCCCTGGTCCATTGTCATCTTTATATTCTCATTTACTTATTTATTTATTTTAATTATATGTTTTCTACAATTTAAATTAATATAATATGTAACAATAATCGGACATGTTTGAGATGTAGCATATGTGATGAGTTGTCGGGACGAGATGTATTAATTTTATTCTTTATTATTTAAAAAAATGGTTTATTTTGACAAATATATTAAATTTATTAATTTGTCAGAGAGATAAATAAGAAAATGGATATAGCATTATTCTTTAACAAAAGACAAAAATGTAGAATGGGAACCTAAATCAAATCAAAATCGACAATTAATTTTAATCACATATTTTATGAAATTGACAACGTTTCAATCATACATTTCATCAACTTTTACCAAAATATACTAAAAATTTAATTTTAATTCTCACTAAACAATATAATTCATTTTTTATTACCAATTCAATCATTTCACTTTTAGCCCTACTTATATTGTTTTCAGAAGAATGCATTTTTGAATAATGTATTGATGAAAAATATATGGTCAATAAATAAGAAATTTTTTTAATTTGAGTGTAATATTATTCTATTGAAGAATATATGAGTCAAATGACTATTTAAAAATATGGGCCTGTTTAGAAGCAATTTTTCCTCCCAAAAAATTAATTTTCTGACCTTTATTTCACTATTTCAGCCGTCATATTTGACTTCTTCTCTCACATATGAACCCCACTTTTCTCCTATATATATAGGGATGTCAAATGGGCCGAGTCAGCTCGGTTCGTCAAAGCTCGAGCTCGTCAAATGATGAGCCTGAGCTCGAACTGAGCGGGGGGTCGATTCCAAAGAGCTGAGCCCGCTCGGCTCGTCGAGCTCGACGAGCGGCTCATGGGCCGAGCTCACGAGTCGAGCCCACGAGCCGGCTAGTCCAAAAAATGAAAAAAATTGAAATTTTATCAATAAAAATTGAAAAATTTTGCAAAAAATAAAATTTCATGAGTTCAAAAAAAAAAAAAAAAATTTCACGAGCTCGCCCACAAGCAACGAGCCGAGCCCGAGCTTGGCTCGTCAAGAGCCCGAACCGAGCTCGTGGGTTAATGAGCCGAGCCGGCTCGGCTCAGCTCGGCCCACTACCACCCCTGGGCACATTAGGCAATTTTCGTAGTATAATCCACCACTAAAGAAGAAGAAAAAAAATTAAGAAGATAATGATCCCAGCACACTGATGGTTAATGGTCGAGTCTTTGTGACAAATTAATATGCATTCTGTAAATCACAAGATTAAAAGAAACGAGCATGTTGAGGTCCAACCTTAAGCATGACTACGAACCTATTTCTAAAATGATTAATGATAACTTAGAACATAAGACTTCTAAACTTTGGATGAAGGTCAACCTATGAACACACAATCAGATCAAATTGACCATGAGGATGTCGTTTTCAACAAACATAATCATTATACAACTGAAAAGTTGCTCCTAATAACGTCACCACTTTCGAAATAATTAATCCAATGAAGACAAGTAGCACATTCGATGTCAACACCGTATCATACGAATAAGAGAGAAAGTAATGATTGTTTAGACAACAGTAATCATGATATAAGTTACAGCTACGACCTAGGTGCAATGATGACTTGATTAGTCGAATTTAACATCCAATAAAAGTCCCTTTAGACAGGGTAGTGAAACACAAATCCATTTAAATAAAAATTCGTTACTGATATGATTTTGAACTATATCGAACCCCCAACAACATGATTTAGCCCTTTTTTGTCCTCTATTTTTCAAAAACTTATTTTCCTCGAATTTGGTTCAACCACATTTCATGAAATCTATAACTTTTATCAATTTTTTAACCATGCATTTCATCAATTATTATCAAAATCAGATAAAAAAAAAAAAAAAATAGGGGCTGACTTCGAAAGTATGTTCCAAAATACTGCTTGCACAAAAAATTGCATTAAGCCCAGCTCAGTCAGGCCCAACAGCCCAGCATCAATTTATGTTTCAGATCCAGGCCGACATATCTACAATTCAATCCAACACCTCGTACATTCTGGATCGTTCGATTTCTGAAGCCCCAGTCCTCGCAGACGTGTGGGTCCCACTAATTCATATTAAGAAACCACATTTGACGATATTATTTTGGCTTCCGCCCCAAGCCACCGACCTCCATCTCCTATAAAATCACCTTTCCCCCCATGGCGGTAACAGACAATTTCATATTTTCTAACAATTCTACCAACAAACCTTTCTAAAAGAAAAGATAATCAACCATGGATGGAGGATCAGAAGCTTTTCCAGATTTAGGGAGGCACTGCCAAAATCTTGATTGTCATCAACTCGATTTTCTCCCATTCACATGTAATGCTTGTAATAAGGTATTTTGTTTAGAACACAGATCATACAAATCCCACGCCTGTCCAAAATCCGACGTCAACAGCAGAAAGGTGGTGGTGTGCGAAATCTGCTCCGCCTCAATTGAGACCACCGGCCACGACGGAGAAGATGAGAAGAATATTTTGGAGAGGCACGGGAAGTCGGGAGATTGTGATCCTAAGAAGAAGAAGAAACCGGCTTGCCCTGTACGCCGGTGTAAGGAGGTTCTGACTTTTTCCAACACCGCGACGTGCAAAATTTGTCAAATTAAGGTTTGCTTGAAGCACAGGTTTCCGGCTGACCATGCGTGTAAGCCATCGTTGTTGGATAAAAACAAGTTTTTGGTTGCTTTAGCTGCAAGGAACGGGAAAAATTGTGGAAAGAAAGTTGTTGCTCCGACCACACCTGCTGTCGAAGCTTGTTGACGGATTTCGCCCTACTTTTTAGCGCTCGACTCCAACTAGTCAATTATTGTCATATTTGGCACGATATACTCGATAAAATCAAGGAAAAATACAGTGTAATGAACATTTCTATTTCTTTAAGAATGCATATTTAAAAATGTTATGAGAGAATGAAAATGTTACCCGGGTTTGTTTGCGAAATTGATTTGTGTATCTTGAACCAACAAGCACAAAATGTACAAGTCACAAATATGAACACGATCATTATCAACTCGGGTAAGTCAAACAATTATTCCCTTAGTCCCATTTTTGGGTTATTTGCTGCCGACAAATATAAACTAATCTTATTTAGCCCCTGTTTGAGGCATATTATTGGACAAAAAAAAAATGAAAAATTTGAACCTTATCCATAACATCTAGCCTTTATTGTTGACTTCTCATCTCTTGTGTGGAGGCCAACTTCATGTACAATGGCTAAAATTTTCATTTTAATGAAATAAATAATGTGTTCCAATCACCAGTTTGATCCATTATGTGACGAATGTAAGGTTTATTAGGAAAATAGTAAGAAAAATTTACATTTTTAACTATATTAATTGCATTTTCTTAATCCGTTTAAAAATAGAAACAAGCATATCTTTATGCGACGGAGGTGCTATAAAACAAGCATTTATTTCATAGCATGGCATCATTGTACGTATGTTCACAAACTGCATCCAATAACTATCAATTCGTTACATTCCTAGGTTTTTCATATCGAATTCCTGATTCTTAATCCCAGATTCATAAACATTCTTCACCTATAACCTAATGCACATGGTTGCAATGTGCTTGCTTGTGCTGTTGATTACTTTATACGGGCCAATGCAGCAAGATGAATCTTCTTCCTTGGTCCCTGCAAAATAGCAAATCAGATGAAATCAGTGTTACATCCTCCTCCTGCACTCGAGGAATCAATATTACTACTTGCAATTACATGACGTCGCTTGGAAATTAGATGATGCCGCTATCTAATTGAGGTTGGAACAAATCATACTTTATTCAAGCAGAAACAATGGTGAGAGACTTCTTACCTTTTGCTTTAGAGAAGAAGCAGAAAACTTGACACTTAAATTTTAATGGCATTTTATGACATAGAAAGAGGTATTTCCACCAGTCACAACCTTGGGGCTATAAATCCATGATCATTATGTTACAGTCTTTCGTTATTTTGTGTGTTCTTCTCAGCTTTTTGGCGTTTGATAAATGATTTTTGTCGTGTTTTTGCGTAATTTGACGGTGACATGAAATATGAGTCCTCTAGCCTGTCACCAACAACAGTTCAAATAAACACGAAAAGGTTCACCTGGGGCATGCATCCTACGATCAATTATTTTAGTCAAAAATGAATGAAAAAAATACCGTGGGAATTTGCAACTCTTTCAGATCTTGGTCGCCCATTTGCTTCAGTACTGCAATATAGGATAAGCCTCTATATCAAAAAATTAGCCAATGAACAATAACAATGCTACATTCTTCAGTGAACTACAAGTCAACACTTGAAGAAACTTCTTTTGTGGATATGCCACCACCACTACTGCTTACCATCTTGTTATTCGCATTATTTATCAGCAGTTTACCATCTATACATTCTTAAATTATCATAACAATATATGAAATAATCACAAGACTTCAAAATCTGCAATGGCGAATCATTTTTTCCCTACAGTACAAGACCAATGCCTATATGAAGTTAAAATAAAAAGGCACTAGTTTTTGCATTCTTATTCTATGAAAGTGATCCCAAACCTCAGCTTGAAATGAAATAGCATATTCCCCAACCAAGTGAATGAAGCAAGCCCCTCACAGTGAGAGGTTGTTTGTCCTACATAAAATCAGAAAGAACCTTATTACTACAACAAAGTTAGTCTGCTTCAGATGAAATGCGGTTAGGGCATATTAATTGTTAAGTGAAAAGTCATTTACGATTATCAATCCAATTTGCCAGCACTGTTGTTTGTTTTAGAAAAGTGAAATACCTACTAAGTTTTCATCAATCCTATAAAAGAAATCTTTACCTCTAGAATAATCTAATTATGACTCCAACCCCTGATATAAAACATTAAACATTTATGAATTTAACAAATATTTCCATCCACATCTTCTTCGAAAGCCATAGCTTATGCGAATAGCAACCTGCTGAAAGGATAGACACAAAAATTGAAGTATAAGTGGTTACTTGGGGGGTGGGGGGGACATTTATCAATGTTGATCCGGTCACTATAAGATGATTAGCATAATAATTACATAAAGCATCTTGCCTAAAATGTGAAACAAGGATTTCAAGCGAAACCTTAATTGAAAGAACACGAATTTTGTAATCCACCAAATTATGAAAAAAACTAACGAATTTTATTAATTCAAAGTTGATAAAAAGAAAAATGATGAATTAACCCTTTATTTACAAGGGTTTACATGAAAACCTACTTTAAACAAACTAAAATTGCAAAGAATTCAAAATAAACTAAATGATAAAAATAGCACTAAAACTTTAAAAGCAGTTTTCCAGAATAGTATTACGGGCCCAAATCAGAGCTCAACTGCCATACTTGCACTATTACTTTTTTCTTTTTCGATCCAATTTTTCTTCAATCCACTCAGCCATCTATTCTACATCAAAAGCCTAAAGAGTAAATCCCATGAAGAACTACTGCTAAGTGCTTACAAGGTTGAAAATCTATTTGCCTACTAGATTTCATTATCTACGGCGTGCTAGAGTACTTTTATTCTATATAGTGCAGGTTACCAAGGAAGTCAATGTATCCCAGACAAATCTCAATTTTCAACCACTAACTTCTGACTCTATTAGAAACAACCCGTGCTAGCACGAAAGAGAAGCTAAGAGAAGACAGATTTATACAGGGTATGGGGATAAGGGCATCTGGATTCTGGACGTGCCACCACTTGCTGAAGGGAGTCTTGTAACCAGCCTGCCAGAATCTACAGGGGCGCTCGAGATCATAAGAAGAGAGCCCGTTGATCTAGACGGATCCAAGAGATTGATTGTCAAGATACACCCAGTTCTTAAAGTATTTTGTACTCGCCGCACTTCATCAGTTGTCATCCTGGGGGTTGAAAATTCCACTAGAGGATCTCATAACTACCTTGGACTTGGTCCATCCAAAGTCCAAGAAACATATGAACTTAATGGCGTCCCAGCTTCTTCTGTTGTTTGTGAAATGTTTTTCAAAATGCTCCTTTCAGGCGATTCCAGAGACCGAATAGCTCTTGAAACTTTCTCATGCAGTTCCATCTCCTTGAACTCCTCTATCCTGTGCTCTATATCCTACTTATTCTCTTGTGCATTAGCTTCAAGCGGAAATCTTTTAAATCAACTCATGGATCTTCTAAGTCAAGTTTGATACCCAAAGAAGGCATTAAAACAAGAAGAAAAGTTCAGAAGTGCGTATCATGTGATGGGGATATAAAATCACAATATAGTTACAAGGTGCTGATTTAAGTACTATATCCATTCTGGCAATTGTGTTCGGAGCTCCCGCTCCTTGGTTCCACATCACTTCTTAGCCTGTAAATAACTAAATATAACAAAAGATAATGACATCAATTCTAAAATTATTTATTCCGACGTGTGTAAATCATCAAATTTTCAACCTCAGCTATCTTCAGATTATTTACACTTTGAGGAAGCACCATTGACTTAACTAGAGAGGGTTACTGAAAACCGACACTGTTTGTTAAGTAAGAAAATGAATGATCAAAATGGCTCCCAAAAGAATCTGCTGATAATCTTTTGCTTCCTGATAATCCACGAGCATTAGCACGACCAACAGAGTTTGCCCATGGCCCCTTCACGGCTTTCTATACATTCAACACACATTGAGAGAGAATAAAATCAGGTAACAATAAAAACCCACAAGGATAGCTATATTTTTTTGCATATTGATGTTTGGTTGTTTATAATTTGTCAAAACTACTTTTTATCCACACATTTCATTGGTTTAAAATTTAAACGGACTATAATCTCTTCCCAAACATAAAATGAAGCATCATTTTTTTATTTAAGCTAATAATCATACGCGTGTATCAATTCATAAAATTAATTATTTTGAAATAATTTTCAACTGCATATATATAGACACTACATATACAAGCTTAATATACGATAAAGAGAAATTAGAGACAAAAAAAGTAATAATAAAAATACATACTTGACACGAGCCGCCCAAGGTGATAGTGAACTGTAGCTTCGATTTTGTAATTCCCCAAATCCCAACAGCTCGAATCGTCCCTCCAACTTCCAGCACAGCTGATAAAAATGTTATATAATTAAGCTCATGATCACAGAATCTTTCGGCAGATTGAAATTGGAAAACGAGAAAATATATTAAGGATCAGCAGTAGATGAACTCCCGAACCCTAAAATTGCAACTTGATTTTTGCAGCAATTAAAAATTGAGACGAGAATTAGGAAACAAATTTAGTGAACGAGAGAGAAAAAAAATTAATTGTCTTAAATTTGCTATTTGGACTTGGGCGGTTGACAGGCCCACGTGAGTGGACGCCCGTGTACACTTAACTACATTCTTAATTGTTCATCACTCAACGTCCTTGCCTTTGATGGATAGTTGAAGTTTAAAATGTTAAATTTAGGTTATTAAACTCAAGCTCGGTTCTGTATAGAGGCAGATGAGGCAAGGGTCTCAGGCCCAACAATTTAAGGGGCCTCTGAGTTATTTTTATTTATTTATTTATATTTTTTTTAGGCTCTCCTAAAAAGGGGAGTAACAAAAACAATTTAAGGGGCCTCTGAGTTAGGCTTGGCATTGTATTGTCCAGTTCTTACAAATCAAAATCCAAATTATTGAAGAACCCAAACCGCCAAACGACGTCACAAGTACAAAGAGCGATTTTCTCACTGCTCCAATCTCTAAGTGTAGTCCGTCGACTGCCTAGCACTACCCCTATGTACGTTAATCTGATTTGTGTCGTTGCGTTTGTCGTTTTTGCCTTTTGTGAAAAGAATTTATGGGGTTTTCTTTTTGGTGTTTATTTGTGTGTGTTTTTAGATGTGTTTATTTATGGGTCTATGATTTTTTGTGGATTGCAGGTGGTAATGAAAATTGAAATTGATTGCAAGGTTAGCGCCTCGAAAGTTTCTTTCCATACTTCCCCAGTCAGATGACAATCGGTATAGAATTATTTCTTTCTTCATTCTAATTTCTTTTATTTTACCAAGCGAAATGGACATCAGGACATATATAATATGATAATTATTTTGAGAATATTCAAATTCCCGTTCAGTAAAACTTGTTTTGATTTAATGGTGCTTATAGTGAATGCTTGAAAAACCTAAATTGGATAAATAGAGGGAGAGCATTTTTTATTTTTATTTTTAAAATTTGTGTCGCATGATTTTGTTTAATGATTCAATGCACTTAATAAATTATATTGACTTTTGTTGAGGCTTTATCCGTTTTAATAATCATATACGGATATGCACCGTATGCTATGTGATGTACTAGGGAATATAACGACTTAACAAATATGCTATGAAGATTGGTTGTCAAGCTGTGTAAATCACATGAGTTGTTTTTGAATTTTGTAAGAATTTTCATCGTATCTACTCCTAGTAAAGATAAAAATTTACATAATAGTACTTGATGACATATGACCTGAATTCGAATCTTTTGCTGCAATAAAGTGATCATTGTTGCTAATATTGCTCAGTATTAAGAGAAGCTTGTAGTTGAATGGAACTTTCACTTATTTAATACTCCTTAGATATCTTTCTAGCTCGATCATTTTCTGAAGTTATATGTGAGACTTTTCATTGTTCAAAACTTAAAATTTATCTTGTTCTCATACAAGACAGACATTGCAATCACGTCCAATAGCATGTTCAAACTGTATGATTAGTTAATGAATGATGAGAAAAAGATTAAATTGATACTCAATCACTAGTGGATCATTTAGAGGGGATTAGATCTAACATTTGGTGCAATCTTTTTTTTTTTACCGCATCTTGTTTGACCTCGATTTGCTTCATGTAATTTCATCTTTGTTCTTGTCTTTCAAAGTAGCTTTGAAAATAGATATGGTGTTCAATGTGTTCCAAACAGAGGGTTTCGTGAAATATTAGAAAGAAAATAATAATTATCCTTTTCATTTGAAATTTTTGGTTTTAGGATTGTGAGTTGTGACGATAGAATTCTCAAAGCGTTGAATTGTGTCATTTCATAGTTTTTGCTCAAGTCCTACTTCTTAGGTAAGCGAGGACTTTTGCTTGCTTATTTATTAACATATAGGAAATGTTTGAAATATTGTCGGCTTATATGATTGCATTGCAGGAATGTACCTTTGTCGGGTTATATTGACTTTTGTTAGCATTTGATCATATAATCAATTGCACAGGCACACATAGTGATTATGTTGAAAATTTTAATCGTGAGATGATTGAAATGTTTTACTATTATCAACTTTACTATTATGTTTTAAGTTAACAATTTGACAATTGGTTTTGTAATACTCTTATAAATTTTGCATGTACAATATAATTTTTTTGGAGGGAGCCTAATTTATGGAGTTCACCTTAGGCCCCTAAAATCACAGGATCGGCACTGATTAAACTTATATCCATATTTTTGATTACTCATTAAAGTTTAAAATATTGAATTTTGACTACTGGATTTAAAAAAATATATATTGTACTTTACTAACAAACATAATGTTGAGTTTAAAGTGAGTAATGTATAATATTTTTCAAAATTCAGTAGTTAAAACTCGACATTTTAAACTAGTGAGTAATTAAAGTTATGAATTTAAGTTTATTGACTAAAACTCGACAATTTAAACTTCAGTAATGAATCAAAAATATGAATCTAAGTTGAGTGGCCATTATAACAATTAACTCGAAAAAAGATACCAAATTAAGCCACTTGTACAATATTTTTGCATAACTTGATTGACAACAAGTGTGTTGAAAAAATCCTGACTATTGATTTTAAAAACAAATTTTCAAATAAATGGATGTTATGTTTGCCAATTCATGCATTGTAAATCAAGTTGTAAAATAAATTGTATAAGTAGCATGATTGTGGAAAAACAATAAAGTAAAAAGTCCTACTTGGGGGAAAACCTAATAAATAAATAAACAAAGAGAAAAAAAGGAAAAGGAATAAAACGACATAATATGTTGTTTTGGTAAAACGGGCTCGAATCATAGATTTACAATTCAAATACCTTCATTTCTTTCAACGGTTACTACTCACTGTCTGTAATTGCACAATTGAAGTTCAGATCCCCTCTTTTAGTAAGTATCTATGCTAATAAAGTTTAATGGCGCAAATATGATAATTTGCTTCCATTGAAGCAAGCGGCCCAAATTTTATACCTCGTTCAAGGGAGTTCCCATTTTCCCTCGCAATTCATTATATTTAAGTAGTTTTGCATGGAAATGCTGCGAATATATTTTGTAAATTGGTTTTTGAATTATTTTAGATCTATTTGAAGAAATATTTCACTTTCCAACTGAAGTAAGATTTGCTCGTTTCTATATACTTTTGCAGTAGTGAGAAGTCTGAACTATTAATCTTCCAGCGTCTTTTGGATATTACGATAGTTTCTTTCCAAAATTTCAATGGCAAAATGTAAAGTTCGAAAAAATACCAGAAAACCTAGAAGCAATCAAAACAACGGCAATGAAGATGAGATCTCACTAGACCAAAAAGAAGATGTATTTCAAGACCATAAAGGTATTGCTTGAAACCCATTTTTTTTTATTTATGTTCGTCGGTTTATGTATTCTTGAAAATGGAAAGGTAAAGACTAGGAACAAATTAGAATAATATTTATATTACAATGAACAAGACTCTAGCCCTTTTGACGGACAATATTGTTGTATATTGTTCAAAAATAAATAAGAAGCTTGTGGAATGAAAAACCAAATATGGAGTCCAAATGTTAGCCTATGCGACGCATAGGCCTGAGGTCACATGGGCATTGCAGGGCGCTGTCGGATATGATTGTTCTATGCGATCGCATACAATGATTTTACTAGCTGTTGGACTGTTTTTGTTTAAATTTCTAGTGATCTTTCAAGTGTTTTTGGCACCACTTCGTATAGCATTGATTGATTGCTAATAGGTGGTTTATGATCAATGAAAAACATATAGAAACATAAAGAAACACTTCAAAAAATTTGATATGATCCAGGTTGCATCGCCAATTACCAAGGAATGGATGATTGTTGGAAGAAATCGAAGCCACATTTGAGACTTCGAGGAGCTAATAAAATCCAGACAATTAGTGGTTCAAGCCATGAAGTATGCAATGTTGAAGTTGGCAAGTCAAGGTACGAGATTGCAGTAGGTGTCGAGGGCCAAAGCAAGTTAGAACTAAGAGTTAGAAGAGTTAGAAGGAAGAACCCAACCGGAGGACCAAAATCGGGCAACCATACAGTCGCATGGTTGTCCCTGCCATGCGACCACATGGAGGGCGACAGGGCGTTCCAATTTGCATCGCCAATTACCAAGGAATGGATGATTGTTGGAAGAAATCGAAGCCACATTTGAGACTTCGAGGAGCTAATAAAATCCACACAATTAGTGGTTCAAGCCATGAAGTATGCAATGTTGAAGTTGGCAAGTCAAGGTACGAGATTGCAGTAGGTGTCGAGGGCCAAAGCAAGTTAGAACTAAGAGTTAGAAGAGTTAGAAGGAAGAACCCAACCGGAGGACCAAAACCGGGCAACCATACAGTCGCATGGTTGTCCCTGCCATGCGACCACATGGAGGGCGACAGGGCGTTCCAACAGCTATTTCATGTGGTCTATGCGACCACATGACATTACACTATGCGGTCGCATAGACCAATTACGAGGCCAATTTTTTTTTAAATTTCGCGAATTTCCTATTCCAATTAGAACTCCATTATTTCCATAACTTTACATTTTTCACGAAATTTCCATTATTAATTAGGTTTTAGGGATTGCATATAAATAAGACCTTATTTACATTTAAAAGAAGACTTTTGATATTTTAAATTAATCAGAGGCAAGGTTGCTTCCTTTCTTTGTTCTTCGCGAACAATTATCGAACTTATCGGGATAATTTTTCGTGGCGTTCACCAATCAAAGTGCGATTCGTGGGTTGTGCTATCACGGTGTCAAGATATTCTAGTAATTGCTTTGGTTTCTGGTTCATTTAATTCTTCGGGTCAATCTTTAAATTTTGGGTTTGATTTCTTTAATTGTGTAATTAAAAGGTCAATATATCCATGTGATTGTATTGGTTGTTTGTTTCATTAATTTTTTGTCAAATTCCATAAACTTTGATTTTTTTGGTTTTCTTGGGGTTTGTGTCATGCTTTGTGGATTTAATAGCGATCTAGCTATCCAAATTCACATTAAAATTCCTCATTCCAAAAGACCTTTTTGTTGGATTTTCTGGTGGCTTTTCAAGTGTTTTTGGCACCACTTCTTATAGCATTTATTGATGGCCACATATAGGTAGTTGATGATCAATGGAAAACATATAGAAACGCTTGAAAAAATTCCTCATTCCAAAAAGCATTGAAATTCATTTCTTTCTTTATATTCAAATTCTGATTTTG